AAGATTGTTCACATAATACAACGAAAAATTAAATAAAAAAATATGTTCTCTATCAATGCTTAAGGTCATGTAATAGGTTAGGTTATATTATAGTATCTACTATTTAGCTTGGTACGAACCACTATCTAATCTACACTCCACGCGCATTATAGAAAAAGTACATTTACACTCGTGCCTGCGTAATATGTACGATAACTGAGTAAGTTAATAGCAAACACATATCGGTCATATCATAAAAAATTGTAAAATTAGATGAATATGTTTGTCTCTGTAATTTTTAATATTTGTAATAAGTCTAGGGACCGGATTTATATGCACAAGAAAATCCACAAAATATGCTTCTAAAAATGCTGTGATGTACTACAAAATATGCATTTATTATTAAATGTGAACTAAAAATTGAATCGTAAATATTTTATTTAAAATCATGTAAAATTAAGCATTAATTAAGTATTAAAAAAGGTATAAAAGGGTTTTAAAAATATAAAAAAGTATTTAGTCATCTTCGCCATTTAACATTCTTTATCTTTAGTCTATTATAAAATATTAGTTCACATTAATAAAAAAAAAAAAAAAAAATCAAAACAAAAAATGATCTATATTAATATATTACATACGTACATGTACCTCATGAGTGTCCCCAGATATTTTTTTAGGAGAGGTAAAATTAATTAAAAAAAGAAATGAAGATTTTTATTATACATTTTACCTATTTATAAATCAATATTATTTTTCGCCATCATTACATTAAATTACTACAATTAGATAACAAATTTAAAATTCTAGGGGGAGAGGCAAGTGCCCTGTCTTGCCCTCCCCTTGGGGACGTCCATGATGTACCTATGAGTATGTCATATCATTTTTGGAAATAACGACCGGTTGTAATTTTATCGATATTATGCGGCAGTGAATGTAAAAATACGACGAAAAACAAATAAAATATGTGCCATTAATAATAATATGCACTATAAAACTACTAAAATGCATTAATTAATATGCATTTTATATTTAAAACCGTTGAAATATGCAAAATAAAATTATTAGTGTTATTTTAATAAGAATGATCTAAATCGGGGACAATTCTCATCAGATTTCAAAAACCTTATTCCAATGCATATATATATGCATTTGCATAAAAATCCGGTCCCTAATAATTAGTTATAATTAAATTGAAAGATAACAATATTATCCAGGGTCTCACACGTTTTATAGTGTTCAACTTTATGAAATATATGTTGTGAGCATTTAAAAATTTTTAATTTTACTAAAATATTTGTCATGACATACGTTGTGGTTAGACAGAGATTATTGTATTATCTAATATTGATTTTAGAACATACTAAAATATTCTATTGTATTCTAAAACCGATGGTACTACATATAGTGAGTACCACAATGTCGAATAAACGAATAATATTGACGGTGAAATACAAATATTACAACACCAACTTGAATAAATTATTAACAAGAAGGCAAGTTTAATTAAATATGTAGCTAACTTTAAAAAGATAAAAGAATATTATGAGTAAGGCTGTGAATTTGTAACAAAGGGAATTTTTTTTTTTTTTATATGACGATTGTAAAACGTAGCTTTGTAAGTATACCTACATAATTTGAATTATGTAACAACGAATCTATTTATGAAACTTTTATTTTGCATTTTTCATGTTTTTATTTTTTTAGGTCATTTTTTTTTTTTGCATTTGTAGGACATATTTTCCTATTTTAGTTGATTTCCCGGTATTTCAAAGACGAATAAGGTACTCGCAATTAATATATTTAAGTTTGTTTTATTATTTTGACAAACTAAATACATAAAAAAAATTTTAAAAATGTTTCGAGTTTTCAAAGCATTATACAAAATTCAAATTCAATCAACTTTTTTTTATTATATAAATACATTTTTATGCATATAAAATGTAATGTATCTACTAAATGTATAATGTCCTATAGGTAATATCAATATAAATGTAAAAATTAAATCAAAAAAAATTTTAAGTGTACCTATTTTAAACTAAAATTTTTGGCATTTTATATTGCATTTTATGCATTTTAAGTGCATATTTTATTGCATTATATTGACATTTTTAATGCATTATTATAAATTTTTTAGTTTAATATATTCACAATCCTAGTTATGAGCATTTTAAAATTAACTATGTAATGACAGAATAATGTTTCATTAGTATGTGTGTGTGTGTGTGTGTGTGTGGGCGGAACCACCATTTAGATGTCGTTTAGACGATCTCATACACCTTAACGTACACAGCCAATAACTATATAGGTAGGTGCCTACTTACTCTTTTAATATATGTTATTTATTAGCTATATACCTCGAAACTCTTGTATCTAACAGGTTATTATCCACTAGAGTGCGTCCTGCTCAGCCGAATTTACCAATACCTCAGCGCTAACGTGTTAGTTCGAAATTCGTTTCGTGTTTGTACTTACTGCTTTCAGCTAGTGAGATTTAGTCGTTTTCTGCCAGGCACCATAAGTGTTCCACAGTTTGTTGTACTCCATCAGTGGTTGTAAGTATTTAATTTGTTTTGTGTCACAAATATTTTTAATTTCTTTTTGATAATATTTTATAAACAATTTTATGGAAACTCCTTTCGAATAAATATACAAATTGAATTAGTAAAATATGTTAGTGCAATTATTACGATATTATTGATTAATAAATCATTAATTTATTAAGTTCTAAAAAAAAAAATGTATATATTATTAATATTATAACATTGTGAATACAATTATTTTACATAATATATTTGTGTATGACTTTGTATATTATATTGAAATCATATTTTTATATTTTGGTATAGGTAATATATTTCCTTTGTAAAAAATTTTTAAAAAACTTCATATTTTATGCATTATCTAATAAATGAGTTTTAAATTCAAAACATGAATTGTATAAATTGTATAAAATTAAATTTTTAAAAATTTGTTACATGCCTGTTTAATGTAATAAACCGATAAAACTAAAAAGTTCAAAAAAGTATAGCCATTGCGTTACTTTTCATTTTTTCTTTTTTTAAATTATCTTTCTAGAATTTATTTTAAATAACTAGGTAATAAAGTTATTAAATTAGTTTATGAAAAATAGAAGTATTTATCTAAATTATTAAATAAGTAACCAAAAATCCGAGTATATTCAATTAAAATATATTAATAATTACTAAACAAATTTAACTTAAAATTTGAAAGATTCTGAGTAGTATCTATTATAACAGACTACAATTATAAGGCAAATCTAAATTGAATTAAATAAAATAACTATTATTTAATTTATACTTTGTTAATTGTTTTGCATATCACGCTTTTATATACTTAAAGAGGATGTAAGCGCACTGTTACAAAACGCATTTATATAGAATCAGTTTTTTGATATTTTTCTGTAACCATAGAGTAAAAACACATATTAAAAAATTTAGACAATAATATTTTGGATGGTTTAACTATTGATTTAATATTTCATTACTTTTTGACTTGGTATTCGACTTTCAAAATAAAAAAAATATACATATTAAATAATTCGATACAACACAAGAATAGGAAAAAATTTAGGCCAGGAAAGCAAATTTCATCCAGGCCATTCAATTTTAAAAACTATGAAAATTCATTGCATAGGTACCTATGTATTTTATTGATAAACCTATTCAAAAAAAATTTTAAGTCTTTCAACTTTGCATCAATAAATTTTTACTTTTCTCTTTTTCTCTCTCTCTCAATCGTCTTTCCTTTTTTTTTTTTTATTATCGCTTATTTCAAAGAAAACCCGAAAATATTTAATATTTAAATTAATATAATATACAAAAACAAAATTTTTTAAAACGTATGAAATATAAATGTAGTATAAACTTAGGTACTCTACTAGTCTATCATACTGTATTCTGTTAGATACTTTGATGATAAAATATGGGAAATGTATATTTGACTGATAGTCGCGAGGAAATTAGGTAGGTATTATGGTGTTGTAGAATTTTGGCAAAAGTTATAAAAATAGATGGTGTGTAATATACTAATGCGGGTATATCGTATATACAGGATACGGTAAATTTATAACGAAATATCAAAAATATTATACAAATGATTATTAATTAAATTGTTATTAATATGATTCCGTTTTCGTGAATAGATAAATAAACTCCTCACATTACAATATTTTTATGAATTGTTTTCTATCTATACTTCAGGCCAACATGCCTTTAGCTTACAGGCTACCGGGATTTTTCACGGTATTCCGTTGGGCCACTCCGCCCCGGGATATGACTCATATTTAAGTTCGTTAAAATGTTCATACACTTACAATTTGTAATATTCATAGTATATGGTGTTTCTAGTTTAAATATTATGAACGACAATAACTCAATAGCATTTAAACTTTTATTTTATCAAATATACCTTTTATAAATATCTAACATTACTTTTATTATAATAAAATATAATAGGTAGTTAACTATGGGCTATGGTATGTACCTAACCTATGTTACTATCCTATGAAAAAATTATTTTAATTAAGTAAATATACTTATAATTGTATCTTTAGCTAACTAAAAAATGTATAAAAACCAGTAGTTTTTTTTTTTTTTTTATAAAGCATTTAAACTTAGGACATAGGCAATCAAGATGAATAATATACTTTCAATTATTTAAAAAACGATGATGTAGATAACAACATTTAATAAGTGCCTAATTAAATTTATAAGTTAGGTACTTCAATTAATTTAATTATTATAAAGTAAATAATAGTTAATTATTATAATAAATATATGTATTTATCTTGTTATTTTATAAGTAGATAATTATTTTATTATATATAATAGTCAATATCTATCACTGAGACTACCTATGGTAGTCAATAAAACAAACTTAAGATGATTACATTAAGAATATATATTTGTGTAATTGGTTATATTTAAAATATGTATGCAATTATGTTATTACAGATAAAATATTGACAAGTTAAAAACTTAATTTATTAATTTGAGAAGAATTAAAAAATAAAAAAATATTCAACATGTTCCGCTCCGTATTAAAAATTAAAAATACATTTGAACAAGATTTTGCAGTCAAATTTCTTTTCCGAAATATGGCTGGACAAGCACCACAAAAAATGGAAGACTATTTCAAAAATAAAAAAATTATAGTCACCGGATCTTGTGCTGGTTTGTTAAACAATTAAATAATAGTTAATATTGTATTATTATATATATATATATATGTATGTAATTAAATATACTTGATAAAGTTAAACACTGTTAATCATATTTATATATAACTAATTAAAAAAATGTTATATTTACTACAATCAATTTGTTTTTAAAGCCGATTGAAATTAATTATTTTATAAATTATAATAAACCATGACCTAATAATTTTTTAGGTATGGGTGAAAAAATCACCCAAAGGCTTTTAGACCTCGGAGCATTTGTCTATGCAGTAGTTGAAAAAGAAAAGGGCGCTGCTAAAGCTTTACCAAATACAAAGCAAATCTTTTGTGACGTTTCTGATTGGAAAGATACATACAACAAAATGTATGAAATTGGGCCGGTACATGGCTTGGTCAACAATGCCGGGGTTGCTGTAATAGAACCATTTTTTGATGTTACCGAAAATGGTTGGAATAAGTTAGTAAAATCTTAGTCTTTTTTTTTTATGGTTATATTATATTAACATGAATATAGATATTATTACATGAGAAGTAGATTCTATAATATTTGATCAAATTTCTGATAAATCAAAATTAGACTTGTTTTTTGTATTAATATTTATTTAGTATAGTTATGAGTCATCACAAATGTATAATTATTTTTTATGAAGAGACATTTCTGTAGCTATTACTGAATGTTATTTATACTTATTACTTATGATACTTTCAAATAAATCAAAAATGTTTTGTTTAGGACTTTGAATATCAATGCCAGAGCCTTAGTAAGAATTAGTCAGGCAGTGGCAAAAAATATGATAGATGCCGGTATCAAAGGATCTATCGTTAATATTTCCTCGACAATTTCCACAGTAAGTTATGATATAAAGTATTATTATGTTTTTCACAAAACTAGCATTTACCCCACAATATTAAATTGTTGTATTTAAATAAATTTTAGTTTTATAAATATTATAAATTGTGTATGTGATTCAAAAAGAGGCATATCCAGGAATTTTTCAAATGGAGGTTTCACATTTTTTTAATCATATCATTAAAAAATCTACAAACATTTTAATACCTTAATTCTTTTATTGGTAAAAAATAAAAATATAAGTACAATTAAATTTAAATGATGTGTTTGAATATTATAAGAATTTTTAATTCTGTTAATCATGGGAGATCTAGACCCGGACCCCCCTGCTATGGGTACTATAGTTTTCTCTATTAACAATAACAGTGTTAACGATTGAAATTGTAATGGATAATTCAAATAATTTGATTGACCCAACCACTCCTTTAAAGTTACCACCCCTCCTCTGGAAATTTTAAGCAAGTTATATTTAAATAAATTGATTTAAGTATAAAGAATTTAATGTCATTGTGACATCCTTGAGTACAAAAAATTAAAGCAGAAAGACATGAAGCTATTGTCTCTTTATTATTTTTACCTGCCCACTCATATAATTTTTTAAAGTAGTTTAATTATTGATGTTCACCAAAAGCGTATTTGGTGCCTAAGAACGTCAAGAAAAAAAAATAAATTTAACTCGCCTTACGTCAGATTAGGATATAGGGGTGCTTAAGCTTTACAATATTATCACTGGACTATTTAATTGCAGTGCACGATTTAGTTTACAATATCTATGTTTAACTTTCTAGAGAGCAATACCTGATCATACAACATACTGCGCATCAAAAGGGGCTGTTAATCAAATAACCCGGACAATGGCGATCGAGTTGGGTCAATTTGGCATTCGTACTAATAACGTGAATCCAACTGTTGTATTGACCAAAATGGGCAAAATTGCGTGGTCAGACCCGAAAAAATCTGGACCAATAATGAATCGAATTCCACTGGGCAGATTCGCAGGTTTGTGCACAATAGAATTCGAAGAGTGTGTCGAAATGAAAACCCATTTCGATACACAAGCTTTGTCTACAAATATATTATAATATTAAGTCGTGTTTTATCTTTTAGAAACCGACGATATTGCAAACGCAGTGATTTTCATGTTAAGCGACTACTCTACAATGGTAAACGGGACGTCTCTTGTAGTTGACGGTGGGTTCTTAGCAGGATAGACGACTTCGCTACAAAACTAAGCTATTAAGGATTGTATGTAATTTATACGTTATTATAATATATATTTATTGCATACGTTGTACCTACAACGGATTAATGTATATTTAGGAAATACATTGTAAATCCTCAATTTTTATATTATGTTATACGTTTTATAGTAATACAGCTTAATTTTGTGTTCCTATAATCATATATAATAACATTACGTTTTCACATTTAAAATAAATCAAAATTTATCTAAAAAATACACAGTTGAATATTTTTTGTATAAATTACGTATTTATAAGCATTATAATTTGTCATAAATCATTGGGCGTCGGTTAGACATGTAACATTGTACATTAGTAAATAAGGATTTCAAATTTAGAGTGTCAAGAAAACCCAATTCTACAAATATCATAAATTTACCTAATATAAAAAAATTAAGTCTCGCGCATGTATGTAATAATGTTTATGATAGACAATACGGTACGGAAGCATCATCGAATAAAATGGTGACGTATAATGAGCTGGTAATAATATATGCATCCCAGAGGCGCAGTATAATATCCAATAGTTTTTTTCTTTTTCTGAGAACAAAAAACCCGTGGGGAACGATAGGTTATTATACACATTACACATGTCGTGTTCGGCGACCTTTGTTTGTCATAAACAACGTAGGATATTCAACCATTCTGTACACCACCGCAATTCCTTACTGTCCAGCGAGGAATGTTGTATAAGACGAGTATAAAAGCATTTTTGTATGTCGAACATGTATTATGAACCCCATGTTAGCCGAACACCGGTTGCACACATTATTTTAACAGAAGTCTCCAAACTACAATTCGCGAACAACTTTCAATCGGCGTTCCGGACGACGATAAATATAATAATACGTGCATTATAAAGTGCAAAGGTATCGCAGGCAAGTGTGATAATATATATATACGTCAGCATATACACGTGTATATTCATCAATGGCGCAACCAAAATTTTTTAAGGGGGAGTCTAAAAATATAATTTTTCTCAATAAGCCAGGCGACCTATAGACACAAAATAAAAAAGACCCTTTTTTTTTTTGCTCATTAATTGTTTAAAAAAAAAAACAAGTATTTTATTAAAAAATTGAGGCGTGCGGCCTACTGTGTTGTAGAACAGTAGCACAGTAGCCCGCTAGGCCTGACATATGTAATACAGCTGTAACAATAATAAAATTACAGAAAATTACAGTATTTTATAAAGATACGACACGGTGTGTGTGTATTTTTTTTTTTTTGTTATGTACAAAGTTTATCAAACATGATATGTCCATACGACTGTATAATAATTAATGTATAATATATAATAATGTCAATAGTAAATAATCTACCTGTGACCTTTTGTTATAATGGATAATAGATGCTGTACAACTGTGACGTCGAGGAAGTATTTTCGTTGTATACAATAATATACATGTAATCATATATAATATCATGCCATACACTCACACACTGTATATTGTTATACTCTTAGCAACAATTCGGGGTCGTTAGGGTCGTACGATTCACTCTGAACTTTAATACAGATCTTTATTTTTTGCTGCCACAACACTTAAATAAATATTTAAAATTAATTATTTGATATTAAAGATTTCAATTCAGCTATAGAATTAATATTTTTCACCGTATTTTTAGTGCGACTTCATTTGTCCTAATATTTGACGTAATAGTACGGAACTTCGAGTGAACGATAGACATCGCGCGACAGTGTCTTAAAGATTTATTTTTCAAAGTAACTTGTAAGATATCTCTTAAAATACTGACAATTGTCTGAAAAAAAATTGAAATCATTTATTTTTTATTTTTAATAAGGAAAATTAGATAACCACACTGATGAACATTAGGCTTCAATCATGTACCTGTATTAATATAAACTTGATATATTATGTGGGAATTTTTTTTTTATTTATATTACATTTTTGTTCGTGAATAAAGAAGTTTGATATTTATTTCAAAGTTCTTCATTAGTCATAATTTACAGAATCATAAGTATAGTTTTTTTTTTTAGTTATTTGAAATTAAATTATTTACAAAATTGGAAGTTTAAAAAAAAAATCCTATAATAATTGTTAATTATATAATAAACACCTACATGTGAATGCAATCGTTATTATAACTGAATTAAAATTCAACCAACACTTTGTAAGAATTAGGTACAGTATAAAATCCTACGAAACAGGAACATACGTGATTTTTATGTAAAATATATTTTGCAATTACCTAATTTTGAATTCAAAATAAATATTCCATATTAACAAAAAATCAGTCATTAATTTATCTATGAACAATTATGCTAACTTAATTATTCTGCTAGATTATTAAATCTAAATAATATTTTCTGACCGTTTATTGTAATAATAGAGTCTTCCATCGGCAATACTAGGTACGTTATAACATGTGATGTATGAAAACAATTTTACAGATTAGGAATAGAGATAATATTATATTATTATTGGTATATTGTCGTATACATATTCCAATATTGGACGAGCAAATATCAACACAATAAAACGTTATAGTGGGGATGAAAAAAAAAGGTGGGATGATATTTTTGAACCTCGTGTGTCCGGGTCGTATTCCACTGTCCGCACATACTGTTTTCTCTTTAGACGGAGCATACGTTGTTTTTGCATCTAGGACCAACGGTAAGTATAAACCATTAGTTTTATATACTATTATTAATATTATTAGGTATTATTATTATTTATTATTATTATCATAATAATATATTATTTTCATCAAAATTGTATTATTAATATCATTAGGATAACCTATTATACACCTATTTAGATCAAGCATATCAATTTTTTCACTGGTTTTTTATAAATTCAAAACTTTTTCTTGCTCTAACAAGTGTCAAATGTTATGTTATGTTGTGTTTAACACGAAAAACACAGAATTAATATAATTTATTTTCAGCCTTCTAGAGGTTTAGGTAATCGAGCCTCGCTTTTATCGTGCAATAGTACACGTGCGATTACATAGTCGACTCTGTTCCCATCATCCATTTAAAATACCTACATATAAAATTATATAAAATATACATTTTAAAAACTAAAATAATAATTCAGTAGGTATTGAAAATAATGTTTTATCTATCAGGTCCACATGAATGTGATAGTCGCCATAACATGGAAGTGGCGATTTAAAAAAAAAAATTATTACCTAATAAAATTAATATGTATTTGAACAGTAACTAATATTATAAACTACGATATCGTACAAGTATTTAAAAAAAAACCCCCCATTTGATTAGGTACCATGTAGATAATTTTATATTAATTTCTTACTATAATTCTATACCATTAAACACATAATTACTGCTAATGTAAGTAAAAACCTATGCTGTTCATTTTGAATGCACGCACCGTGTTTTAGGTTGGTCGTCCCGACCTTTATGCTTCATTCCTACTCTATCTTGGTTGTCTATTCAAAGTAAAAAACCATTGTTAACGCGTGTTAAACTATTTTACTACTGTTACTAAACATGGTTGAAATTTGACCAACATTATCGAGAGAGAAGTTACAGTAGTTCTCACTCGCGCAGACGCTTCTAAATAATGGAGAAAGAATGGTTGTAGATGAAATGGTCACACTATGGTGTCTGATATTTCGGCGATAAAACTTCTTATCGAAAATATAAAAACTCACTGCCTCGTGATCTACTAAATTATTATTACAATTTTGATATTCAGTGTTTCGTATTATTTTTTGTTTCAAACTAAACCACTTAAGTGTTCAGCAATAATTAATACGTACAAAAGGTAAAATATTAAATAATCAATTTGCATGTCATTAATACCTACACGATTTGTTTCTAAGGATAAATACTTCCGTATTTCAGAATTTGGTATTTATTGAGTACTATAAAATGGTATAGGTATTGTCCGATCAGTGGTTGAGGCTATCGCGTTATATTCTGTTCCGTATCCGTCTTCCGTTCGAAACCACGGGTCACTGCAAAAAGAACCGAGAAAAATAAAATTTTATTTTTTAACAACTCATAATTCAAACTGATAACCGTGAAAACTAGACTTTTCACCAATTATTAATACTATAATTTTCTGTGTACTTATATTGAAATAATATGACAATTTAACAAGTAACTAAACGATTAATATGAATTAAAAAAATTAATATTTTTTAAGGATTGTAGTAACTGTATTCATTGTATTATTTAATTATTTTATATTAGAATAAAATATACAATTATAGTTAAATTTAAATACTTATGTTACATGTAATTAAATGCAAAAATTGCTAACCTAATCATATTTTGTGTTAAAGATTGGCTGTTAATTTATTCAAATATTTCAAAAACACCTTAGATACCTACTTTGAAAATGAATCAACCACCACAGGTAATATTATTATTATTAATTATTTAAAATAATTTCAACACTTTATTGTTTACAATTTATAAAAAGACAAATTTTTATTATCTACTTATTTATAATTTATAAAATTAAGAAATCATTTCAAAAACAAAAATTAAAATATATTGAGTACCAAACCAAAGAATACCATATATCTATATTATAGGTAAAATAATCTCTTTTAAATGAAAATAGTTTTTTGTTGATTTACTAAAAAAAAGTCTGACATTATGTATAAAATCTTTAAATTTACAAAATCAATAAAATTTGTTAAATATAATTTTGGAATAAAAGTATTGGATCGATTGTTATTTAAGGGCAACAATTTATGATTTTACGGACAATTTTAAAAATCTATATATTTTGAAAAAAACCACATATGTTGTAACAACTACATTTAAGTTTTTTATAAAAAAAAAAAAAACAATGATAAAATAACAATACTAAACAACTATTTTTTTACTTTTTTAAAAGTATTAATTCTACCACATCAGTTACTTTAGGAATTAAGCCATTCTCAATACTTATAAGCAGTAAATTGTTTAGATTTTGTTGAGAAAAAGAATGATCTTCTATGATCTTAAGTTTTGAGAATGATTTTTCACAATATACCTATTTATATGCTAATGTCAAAGTAAACTTATACATTAAATATAAATTAGTGAAGGTTAAATGTATATATCATTTTAAAAATAAATTCACCATAATAAAATTGATCTTAGTTTAACCATCCATATCATACAAAATCATAAGTAAATTATCTAATAAAGTTTAACTATTATGAATAAATAATAAAATAAACTACTAGTTGAAATATAACAAATTTAAATATTGAAATTTTTAAACAAAATATTCTTTTAGAATATTTAAAAAAAATAAAATAAAATAAAATAAACAATTGTAAAAAAATTTGAAATAAGAATTAATTTTATAAACTTTATAGAGTTATAAATGTGCTTAATTAATTAATAAATATATTGATTAATTTATTATTTGATTAGAATATTTTTTCACAATACTAAACTTGTATTTGAATATTGTCTTTTGTCACCACTGTGAATAGGTGCCATAACAGAACCATAAACTGTTATTATTCTACTGTATGTAAAATCAAAATTGCATACTCCACCATGTATTATTTCATGTAGTTATCTTCAATTAAAGGAGCAATAAAAGCATCTGTATCAGAAAATTTTTTTGAATTATAATTGAAAAATAGCCATATTTAACTATAATTGTTTATCGGTTTTTTAAGGGTACTTCAAGCATAAATCCCCGAAATAATAAAATTGAACTTTTAGATAGAATGAAAAAATCCAATACAATTTTGTATCTACCTAGTGGAATTGGCAAAATCTACATAGCTACAACGCTAATTAAATACTTTGGAGGCTGTTTAACTAAGTTTGTATACAAATTATTTTTTAAATGTAAAAATAATATAAGATATTTAAAAAATATTCAAAATAATTTTCAGACAAATGGGTAAGGGAAGAAAATGGACTTTTTATATTGTCCGATCTGAAACTATTCTTAGCCAACAAGCAGATAAATTAAGAAGTCATTTGCAGTATATTATAGGCACTATTGGTGCTGATGTGAACACTAACCGTTGGTCTTCAGAAACTTGGAATTTAATATTGGAAAAATGTCACGTGAGTAAATTATATTGTATGAATATTATAAAAACCTCATCAGCTTATAGGGTATAAATGAGGTAAAGATGCCTTATAGAAGTGTATGGTTAAAAAATGTATAATGGTAAAGTATATGTAGGTATATTTTAAAATAAAATTAGTTCAAGGAAATTTAGTTGGTACATTAAAGCAGAAAAAATTAAAAATTCCAACTTTTTTCAAAATAAACACATTAAATTATAAATAACAACTGTATATACTTAAAACTTTTACTAATTAGTATAATCTATGAATTGTATAATTATCAAAATATTTTTATTTTTGAACTACCTATTTACAGTTATTTGACATTTTTTTCCATATAAATCAATTTAAAAAAAATGCTTGCCAAGTCAAAAAGTTAGAATTAATAAAAGATTTCTCCTAAGTTGTAAGTTTTACTATTTAAATTATATTAGCACTATTTTTTTATTTATTTATTTATTTATTTATTATTATTTTTTTTTTTTTTTTGATAAGCATAAGTTTAAGAATTTATATTTAACTTGTAAAAATTACGAAAATGTATAAATTGTTCTGTTAAAATAATAAGAATTTTATTTTATTTTTATATATACAATGAAATTTTTAAAATATTAGGATTACCTTCATGCTATTGCTTACCTACTTATGCTATGAGTAACACAAAACTCTTAATATCAGTATACGGTGAGTCTTAATTGATTCAAAAGTTAATAACAATGATAAATAGTATAAATACATACATATACTGTTATAATAGTATTAAGATAATATTATATTATATCCATAATAAAATAAATGTGATGTTCATTTTTTTTTTAACTATGAATTTTTAGATTTTAAATGAAATAAAATAATTTATTATTTGGTACAAGACTGGGTTTCCCAAATTTACTAAATAGATTTTATTATATTAGTATTTCGTAAGTAGATACAAAAAAATTTTTATTTTTTATTTTTTTAGATTCTGGTCATAACTGGTCAGGCTTATATAAATAATCTGAATCAGGGTTACATGAATATCAATGATGCTAATCTTCTTATTTTTGATGAATGTCATCTTGCTGTAGCATTACATCCATTTCAACAAGTTAGTACAAAATATTTATAAGTTTCTCAATACACTATAAACATTTTAACACTAGTGTAAGATAAACTATGCATTAAATTACTATTATTATAAGGTTTATGTTTAAAATATGTTAAATTTAATAATTTTTTTTTTTATTTAGCTTTAATTTTAAAATTCAAGTCAAGTTATATTATCTGATTTACATGCTAATATTTACACCAACTACACTTTATTTAATACCGAGTCTTGTAAATTTGTGCATTTAAAACAATTAGAATATTTGAGAAATTATTCTTTAAAAAAAAGCTCAGATTATACCTACATAATATACTGTTAGCAATTTTTGATTTTGTTATTATACTTCAAAATTTTCTATAGTGCATCAAACTATTACTTAAAAGAATTATCAAAATGGAATTTTGAATTCAAAAATATATGGTTATGTAAATTAAAGCAAAAATACGAAAAATATTAAATTATGAAAAATTTTTTCTAAGTTTGAGATTTTGTTCGATAAAACTAATATATGATTTTACAAAGCTTAAATGCCATTAATATAAACATGATTGATACAAATTATTTTCACTTATAATATAATTTATCAACTTTGTCGAATTTCTAGGATGTAATACTAATATATAATCAAATTTGTGGTAATGATATTACAATAAATTGTTGATATTTTTACGCATAACTAAATTGCAGTATTGCACAAATTTAAGTGGGCGATCTTGTTATTTTATTAACAAAATATTAATTCTACCAGTAAAGGATAAAAAAAAAAGAATTAAAATACATTTATAATTTTTATGTGTTTCTAATTTTATTGTTTATCTATTATATAAATCAGATAATGCAAGTATATGATAATGCTAGTTTAAAAAGTGATGAACGTCCTCATATTCTTGGAATAACTGCTACTTTGATTAATAAAAATACCACAAATGTCAAGGATGAACTTATAAATTTGCAAAACACTTTCAATAGTCAAATCGTATCCAAACTCAATGAAAATATTCAAGTGTAATTATTAAAAAGCTAATAATAATATTGTAAAACTAATAATTAATAACAACAATGACAGTTTTTCAGCACGCCCAAAAGAACATATAAGTTTATATGACGAGTTCATTTTGGATGATGAACTTAAAGCTATTATTATTCGTGTATCAAAAATTATTAAACATTTAGAATATTCTCAGTCTAGTGTAAAATCTAAAAAATTTGAACCAATCAACAAAATTTACTGTTTAGAAAATCAAAAACAATCAAATAATTTATTTAATTGTTTAAATGATATAGAGGTGAGTTTTTAATGTTATTTTCTATAGAAATAATAAATAAAAAATTTCTTTTTTAGGCGAATCTCATTGACGGTGGTCCGTATATGACATATATAGCCACTTGGTATTTTATAATTGATGTTGAAAAACAAAAAAAAATTTGCAACGATAAAGATAAATGCATGATGTTATGTTTAATATCATCAGAAATAACTAAAATTAGAATAATATTGTATGATTATTTGAATAAACATGCATCTATTCATGATAATCATTCAGTTATATTAAACAATGTGTCTTTAAAAGTTAAACAGTTAATGCAACATTTATCTTCTCTAAAAGTCACTGATTCTTGCTTAGTACTTGTTGATCAACAAAAAACTGCTAAATATTTAAATAATTATATCAAAGTATGTTAAAAAAAAGTAATAATTATAATAATTATATAGTATTTATTAGTTGATTTGTTCAAATTACTTTTTGATTTATGCGACAGGAATACACACAGGAGTATAACTTAAACAATATTTTATCTGATTTTATGGATGAGGCAAAAGATCAAAATGAAATAAAATATAAAAGACGAAGAAATATTGGTGTCATTAAGAAGTATTTATAATTAATATATTACTTTATACTATATATATTATAGGTATATACATACCTATATTATACACCATTATCCTACTTAAACTAATAATAATTCAGGTTAATGTTTATTGTTTTTTTTTTTTTTTGTAGGTTTAACGAAAACACTATAAATGTTCTTATAACATCAGAAAACATAGAAGACATTGATATTTATGCAAGTAACGTGGTTATCACATTTGATTTTCCTAAAAATTTTTTTTCGTACAGAGAATCTAAAGGAAGGGCACGTTCTTCTGATGGTAAATTTATTATTATGGTTCCAAACAAGTTGGATATCCATAAAACTCATTTTGAATTTATTTTAATGGAAGAAGAATTCAAAAAAGTATTTTATGCTTAAAATATTCTCTAAGTAATCTATTTTGAAAATTAATAATATTATAATTTTTTTTTAGTTTTTGGAAGAAATTGACTGATATTTAAGAAATTAAATTTTATTTGTTGATGTGGAATGAAGAGGATTTCAATGTAATATTGATCAGTGGTGTAGCCAGAGGAGTGGACAGAGGGTCCATACAGAATATTGTACGTTGAGTAATTTCTCTAAACAGTTGAGTTGTTAGTATTGTTCGAGAAATGCAATTTTTTTTTTTTTTTTTAATTATTTATGAATTATATCATGCCAATCACATTATTATTATTATTATTATTTTTTTTGACTTAATAATCAATTTGAGTAGGTAGGTACATTTAATATATGAATTATAATTTAATAATAAATATAAAATTTGAACTTTTTTTTTGTAAGAACTTATACATACAATGATTTCTATCACATACTCACCTTTTTTTTGCTGTGTAGAAACTTACATGTTATGTACCTGTTTTATCATATAGGTACTAACATATGTATTTTTACCAGCTAGTTCTCGTTTAAAAATTTACATTTGATCTAGTATAGAAATCTGTGTAAAATAATGATAATAGTCACAGAAAATATTATGTACAATAAACAAATATATAATTATTGTACATATCTATGATAAACGTAAGCTATCCGGTAACCATTTATGTCAATTGCGACAGTGCAAGCCATTCAAGTTAGAGGTATTTTATGCTACAATGTTATACGATATTCAATTATTTTGCTAGTCTCCTTGTAACATTCACTACTCCAGAACATACATTTTCTGTTCTTAAAAGACTAAAAACATTTTTAAAAACTGCGATGAACGGAGAAAAGTTAAATGGTTTAGTTTTAACTAAAATAAATAAAGATATTTTAGAAACATACTCTGACAAACATCAGCAATTGAAAATAGTGTCCTAAGTAACAGCAGTTTGATTAAATATGGTGTTCCACAGGACAGTGTTTTAGGCCCAAATTTGTTTATACTTTAAATAAATGAAGTATGTTACTTAAGTGTAGATGGTAAAATAATAACCTATTCTGATGAATAGAACTAGAATTTTAATGATCAAAAAAATTTACAAAAATGCATAAATAACCTAAAAAATGTACTTAGAAGAGTAAAAAAAATTTAATTTTAAAATTATTATTATTATAGGTGCACACCCAGCGTTTAGCTCTGCTAAGGATTTAAAAATTCTTTTACGTAAAAATATGAGAATATTTGTTTTTTATTATATTAAGAAAAATAAAAAGGTTATCTAACAAAATATGTTTATGAAATCAAAGATTTAATAGTATAATAAGTGGATGGAACTATAATAATAATAAAAATAATCTGAGCACAAAATAGGCAATATAATAAATATATAAAAAATTAACAATAACCAATTTAATAATAATTAGAATGATCTAAAATCTAAAAATAGCAATACCAACGGCAATATAAATGTATGAAAAAATTAACATTGAATAATAAGATATAATTATGTGATTTGAAGTTAACAGTAAATATAATATAATACAATTTAATAACTGTAATGATTGTAAATAACAACATAGTAATATAAGAATTTATATATAATAATAACTTAATTTTCCTGCTTAAAGTTGTCAATGTATACAATAAATTGACAGTACTGCTCTGCTGGCATAATACAAAACATATAATGTATAAAATATATAATGCGGCTTGTCAGCCGATTACCTGAAGAACTGGTGTTCGTTGGCAGCTTCAAACCAGATCGCTACCGTCTCAAGATGCCCATAATTAATGTACAATAAAAAATACAATACCTAATATAAGATAAAATGTGTGATAATCTCGAGAATGCACGACCAACGGGCCACCAGCTCAGACGAACAATCATACAAAGACACAATGAACAAATTATGTGGTTCTGCGAGTGAGTATGTTTATTGACCGCCTTGAATTGTGGAAAATCTATTAATGACTATACAAATATGAATACAATACTCACAGCAACTAATACATAAAACCAAATGACATGAAAACAAGCTAAATGAAAAAAATGAAGACAAAAACAATATTGAAAGATGCCTTTCAATACCACCTTAAACACAATAATAATATTAAAAGTGCAGATTTTAGGTGGCATTTTATGAACTTTATACAAAATAAAAATATTAAAATGTGAAAACTACAATAAACGACAAAAATAAAACCGTTGATCGGTGCGGCATTGCTACCCACTATCAGTTCGATAACAGAACCGCTATCAAAAGCTGATAGTGGGTCAACGCGCGTTTGGTCGTGTTGCACGTGAGCGCGAACAATTTTGAATTTATTATTATTTACCATTAATTTTTTATGTCATACAAAATAGGTAAAAATTTGTTTTAAGAAGTAAATTAAACAAAAAATATTCAAATTTGAGTTGACAATTAATTATATTACTTTTTTAATATCAATGGAGACACGTGAGTATTAAACAAATATGAGTTTAAATAGGTACACAAAATTAACGTTATATATGTAAAAATGACCTTAAAAATAAAAGAAAATGCATTTAACACGATAAATGCAAATAAATACAAAATAAAAATTGTACATTCTAAATTATTATACAACGAAACAAATTTAGTATTTGGTTAGAACTGTACAGCATTTAAAGAAAACAAATGTAAAAGTCATCAATATCCTAGCTTTATTGATGACAATGATGACACTTGTCTGTTATTCTCGAATTATTCGTGGAATGGGGTTTATCTTAAAGCCACGAATGGTTTAAACTTAACTTATAGGTAAATGTTTAATTGAGAGACGTTTATCAATGAATTTTGATAAATCAATGTTTATGAAGTTTTCGATTAATAAATGTATAAGTTTTGACTCTCCTTTGTTGATTCTTAACTATAATTGTCTTTTAATGTGTAAAAATATTAAGATTAACTGTAAATAAATCAAACAAATATCGAAAATTCGTTATTTAGGTGTATATTCGATGAAAATTTAAGATGGAACCTAAATATTAGCAATTTAGTTGGTAAGCTCTGTTCCACAATCTATCAATCCCAGTACTGGATTTAACTACTGTGCCGCTGTAAGCACAAAAAAAATTTCTACCTTTTAAGGTACATAAATAAATTATTTTGTTTTATATTTTGATAAAAACATTTATTGTTTTTGAAACCATCAAATGATAATATAGTATTGAAATTTTAAAAACTAGCTATATTAGTAAAAGGTACATATTATTATGTTATTGCCATTTTTCTCTAATATTACAAACTATAAATATGAAATAAAAATATAGAATTAATACATAACCCATGTATTATGTATGTATATGTATGGTATAAAAAAGACACATTTATTAAAATGTGTACTAATAAAAAAGAAAAGCTATACTGTGGAATAAATAATAATACATTTTTTAAGAACGTTAATAATCTTTTTGATCTACACACTCAATGGCTTTCGGTATTATTTCTGAGCTACAAAATCATTAACTACCTACATCATCAAAATCAATTTCGTTTACTAATTCTGTCTCTATTGCTAATAAACTCAATGATTTAAATCTATCTTCGTCCAAGATGGACCTTAAATAGTTCTTTGACGCGTTTTTATGTAGTAAAGATGGATAACTAAATAAAATATTATTATTTCATTTGGTAGATATAGTTAGGTAAGTACTAAGGAAATAATCGACCACTGATGTGGTGTCAGTTACGAAAAACATAAATTGATTATCTTAATATTTATTACGGATAACTAGTATAAATATGACAAAAATACCGTAATTCTGGGCGGCGGCAACTACGTTGGTGATACGGAAAGACTCCTATAATTTTTATCTACAATTTAATTTTGGAAACTTGATGAATAGGTCATTACCTAACATATTTTGAGTTTTGACAATTTAATTAATGTGCAAGGTTTGTTTTGTAAAATATGTCTTCAAACTTTTATAAATTTTCAAAAGAAAAAATACTAATACGACGCAAATTTGCTACCCTAAAATATTACCGATATAAACACGTGCTTAGGTACTTTGTTTACTGGTAAATACACTAGTGATCAATTCACAAAACTTAGAGTACTGTTACCAGTAGGTACAAACGATAGATTAATCTATTTGCCTTCTATTAAACCATTTTTCAGTGTGAGCTAGAATGGGGAGGCATGAAAGAAATGTTTTGAAACTTTTACAAATCAATCAAAATAGCGTCATAAGAATAATCTTAAGTAAAATATCCTTAGAAGGATCTACTAAAATAAAATGTAAGCTTTTAGGTATTATTCCGGCTAAATAGTTATGTAAAAAAAATGCTATATTGTTCAAAATTAAAACATTTATAAGGAATAAAACCAATATAATTGATTTCTCTAAGTCTAGAGAAGTATAGAGTTTATAACATACCTGTGACATGTACAAAAAAGTTCTTTGGAAAATATTTTGTAAATTATTTAGGTCCAACTTACTTTAATCGATTATCAACAGAATCAAAGAAAAATGTTCATTATGAATTATGATTTACGAAATGACAAAAAAATCGTATATAATTGGCTTTTTTCAATTAATAATTTTATCATCAATAATTTAATATTTTATAAATATTAAAAAAGTACCTTAATACAATATTATTTTCATAGCAATTTTTACATTTTAATGTCAGTTTATTTTCTAACATTTTATAGAATTGATTATGTACCTAAAAATACTTTTAAAATTTAATCTGGATAAGAACTTTTTATTACAATATAGAAATAATACTTTTATCCATTAAGTGTTTTTGGTTGTTTTTGGTTATCGTTTCTGTCTAACGGCGTCGACGACAATAACGATACCTATCGTCGATATCGATAATGATTTGCCAATTAATTACTAGTGTTGCGTACCTAAATATAGGATTATGTGTATTTGGTCGGCCTTCTATACTTCAAGTGTACACAGACAGAGCTGCTGGAAAGTTCGACGTTTGGACTTTGGTACTTTATGATGGGTCGCACTCGCTGATAATTGGCAATCGAAGTTACTCGTTATCGACGACCATCAACGTGTGTACCTACTGAGTACAGAAGATTACAGAAATAAAATAATTTTTAATAATGTGACGAACTCGTGTCCTATGATAATACTAATATACTATTCACTACGTATAATATACCATATACCGCGTGGTTTCGCGACGTTCAAGTGTTCGACGACCGTATCCGTGTAGCGGTTTTTGGTGGGACAGGAGAGGTCT